ACAAAACAAAGGACTCACCCAGCACACAGCCATGCTATGCGGTATTTCATGAATGGCAAAGAACAATGTCGGGACGGCAATCAGAGCTCCTAGTCCACAAACAATCGCATCCGATCGTTGGGTTTGTACGTAATAAAATGGTCCATAACCCGTGCGTATGAACTGAAAATATCCGCAGTATCGATATTTAGCCTCTTGGAACCAGGCACCATGCATTTCGTGTTCTCACATTGAGTAAATTAGTGGAGTCAATATCAGCTGAGGAGCATTCCATTTTTTTCAGTTCTGCACAGTTCCCAAGCAAGCGGCCACATAGCTGCAGCGACGTGTGCCCTAGGTCACAAGCGCTGCATCCTTACATTCACTGCATGGAACACCGAGGAGTTGCGCGACGAACGATTTGAGGTGTTCGTAGTCAGCGTGGGGACCGATGGAGACGCAGACACGGCGAGATAACACGCGCTTGGACGTGAATTGAATGAAAGTGAAAGGATGTCGCTCAAAGCCGTGCTGGGCGGGACCATCCTGTCTGGCTGTCGTACAACCACTTCAAGCGCAGTGCCCTTGTTACTGCGAACGCATTAAACCATGCGCGTAGTTGCTAAGAAATGAATTCAAAGATTCGGTCGTTAGAGCTCTGCAGTAGGCCCTATTGCGCAAAGTAACGACAACTTAGAATGGGTTGACTCCTGTCACACTTGAATCAAAAATGAACTGGCAATCGTCTCTACTGTCTGCTCTGCAGAGTCGTCTCTTCGTCACGGTTCTACGGACGTGGTCTCCCTATGCGTCGGCTCTCTACTCGCCTCCCTTACGTTCCTATGTACAGTGGTCCGTGCCGTGCACTCAAGCAGGGATTCCCCTATTCAGTTCATTACATAAAGTCAATTTTTACGATAAAAAGGCAGCCCATTCAAATTAAGTTAGAATGGTCAGTGATGCACGAAAGAAGGAAAAACCGAGAAAAATGGCCAGAACCCGAGAAATGGGACCCCTTCCTTGCCCGTTGATTTGCGCATTGATGCGACTCTCATCGTGCTGCCCTCTTCAACGCTAACGCTCTCTCTGCTGCTGAACGGCTAGAGACTCAGACACGAGACGACGCGAGAGGGGGCGTACTCAGCCAATAGCGCGTCAACTTGACCGCAGGAGAACGTCATGCTAGATCGCTGGGGGCATACTCTTATATGCGCACTGCGTGTCGGTCCACCTGACTCCCACTAGGTGAGTTTCTCCTCCGTCAACCTTCGTCCTTATCGTGGAATCTTCTTTTAAAGTAAAATTTCCAGTGTCAACCATCTATTTGACGTAACGAATTTCAAAGCAAGCGGTAGGAAGCACTTACACCTGCGAGCGTCGATCCGATACCAACACCGGCTATGCCGCCGATACATGTGATGGCACCAAAAATCAGGTTGACCCTGAAAGATTCCAGAGAATAATTGCATCAGAGTCAATGGAATTCCATCTGGTCGAACCTCTTGCTCACTGGTCTGAGAGAGCAAATCACTCTTTAGTAAGAACAAAAGCGATTGATATAGGATAGAAGCCTAACTTCAACTTGTTGCGACTAGTAGTAGTCATGTGTTATGTGATGAGTTTGAATGGGAGAGAAAAAGGTGGCAACAAGTGTGGCTTTGGGGGGGGGGTGTCGCGCGCCGCGGCTTCGCACACTCACTTATCTCATCGTCAGTTGGAGCGGGAAAAGTCCGTTAGCCAGTCTATGGGGTGGAGGGTGAAGGGAAGCACTTGACATGTGTGAAAAGTTGAAGAATGGTTCATATTTCCGTACCATGTACATATGGACAGCTTCCCTCCCTCCCCCTTACCCCGAGCCTACATTGCCCAAAAAGCTATAGTTGATTTTGATTATCATATATCTCACAATAGGTTTTTGATGGCAGCGCATTGAAAAGCTAGCACTACAGGGGTAGGGGGCAAAACAGGTGGTCACTCTTCCCCTATATGTAAAAGGAAATAATTAAACTCTGATAGGTTTAAACAAATGCAATCAATGTCGACGATTGCAATGACCACACAAATTTTTTGCCAAAAAATTTTTTCCCCTACAAGAAACCTCATATTTAGCCTTCGGCGCTGACGCATACGGAAAAAGATTTTCCTACGAAAATATTGTGCACGTTCGAGTCACCGAGGTCTCCGAGTGGATTCGTGGGCTATTAGTCGACCGTAAATTATCGTAAAAGCTTATCGGATGGATCTTTTGCAGCCAGTGTCTGCAGGACGCTATTCATCAGTTAGTCAGTGAAGGGAATTCAGTTCAGGGTAGCAGTTCCAGGCTGCTCTATTACGGTTGGCTTCCTTCGAGCTCGACTGTGATGGCCGATAACGTCACATTCTGAGGACGGTTAAGGAAGTGAAGGAGGGCCAGCTCCTGCTCATGAGGGGGTATCTGAGGAATATCCTGCCGGGAAATTTCTACTAAAACGACACCCTGCGCGAGGGAAAGCTTGAAGCTGTGTCTAAGGGAAGTGACTTTTTGCCCCCTTCCCTATGGTGTATGCGCTGCGCTGTCGATTAAAGGCACAAGTCGGGATCGAATTAGGCGCGTTATTTTCGTCTGAGAACTTAGGCAAGGAGTGCAGTGAGGAACCTAGTGGGGAAGAAAAGCAAAACAAAAGCATCTAGCAGCACCATAGAACTCTAAATTCCTTTAAGGCCCTGCCCGTGGTTTGCTGGAGAGTATTACAGCGCTGTGAGGTAGGGGAAAACGGGAGGTAGTATGCCCATACGCGAGAGCTGCGTGCCAGACACCAGATATCCGTGGTTGATTGTGGGATTGTGTTTGAGGGTGGCAGCACGGCAGCCACACAAAAGCAGGGGTTAGCGCCTCGCACTTTTGAGTGGACAGTGTCGTGCATGCTTTCCCTCGGGGGACTGCCTCTTCTCAATCTAGGGAAGGGACCATGTTCCGACTAATGCTTCAAAGGTAGCTCGACGCTGACAAATAATCCTACCACTCCATTTGTGTCAGTTTCATACAGAGTGCTCCATAATTATATTATAGGGTTCAAGTGCATCTGGTTTGTTGAATTAACACATTCACGACGGCGCCCCTTTCTACTTTTCGGTCGTGCGACGGACGCGATTTTTGGCAGCCGTCTAACCTCACATTGCGTGGATTGTGTGCAGGGAAGACCCCTTCACCCGGTAAAAAGTCAAAACATTTTAGCTCGATTTATGGAGATTTTTGACCACCCTATCTTCCATTCATAGCGGCGTCCGCAAGTCCATTATCATCTGGCAGCCAGTCTTCTTTTCCATATGGCTACGCATCTGGTGCACGAGCACATTTCCTTGGCAGGCCATATGGGCTGCCGCCGGCGTGAATGTGTTAAAACATCTATGTGCTATGCAGAAACAAGATTTCCAAGAAAACAGGACTCACTGCGCTTTTCGTGTCAGGATTGAGGTCATCCGTGCTGTTAAGTCCATGTTTGCTGGCGTCGTAGTGCTCAATGGCCGTAGGAGCCCACCAAGTGAGAGTTCCAACAACGAAAACAATAGCCGTATAACCAGCCGTCGAAAAGACATATATGTGAGACTGCAAGAAAAGCGATAAAGCACTTCGAATTGGAGGAGTGACGTTCATTTGCCAAACGCACTCCTGTCCGATTTTCAATTTTCATTTAGTTGGGATATGACTACGGTTGCTTGTCAGGTTTGATCCAAAGATAACAAGTAAGTATTTGAAGTTATTTCCATTAATTCGGACGTAGTTCCTTGCAGGCAGCAATCACTGAAGGACAAAAGAAAGGCAAGAAAGAAAACACAGTACAACCCCAAGGCAGAGCTTTATGAGTGAACTTAAACTGGCATACGAAGTATACAGGCTCCTTCACCTGCTGACGACTGCCATTTGAGACTTGGTTTAAGACGCGAAACAGTAGAATAATTAACTGTACGAGAGATCGCAGTAACAGGAGCGAGTATTCCCTCAATTTCGCAGCGTCTGAAGAAAAACTAGAAAGTTGAGGAGGCTGGACGGTTGGGCACGTTCAGCTGAGCTGAGTGAGCGCAGCTAATCTGAGGCGTCGTAGTGACTTCGAAGTGTAACACGAACGACCTTTTTTGTACCGTGAGGTTTACAAAACATATTAGTTTTGGGGGGCACTCAATATTCTAATCAGCAGTTGACAAAAATCTACATTAAGGTGAAGTTGCGCAGTGCTTTACATCTATTAACATTCAAAGCGGGCTCCTAGTGTAGGATTACGTAGGAATACCAACCGGAATTCCGTACAAAATGGAATACATGAACGGCCTTGCGGCGATCGCAAGAAGATTGATGAAAAAAGGGTCAGCAAGGTAGCAGCCATTTTCTCCTATAGAATAATACGATAAGGTAAAAAAGTGCGATGTAGCGGTTCAGGCCTCAGTGAAAAACATGATGATTATGTCTTGCTTCTGTTTAGCCTTCCAGGTTTGTTATGGTGGAACACTTTATTGGTCGACGTTTCGAACAAATCGTCGTTTTCAAGACCTAAAAATTGGTTCGAAGCTCTAGTTTGTAGCCTATCCGCTCACACCCCACTAGTACCAAATGTTACGCTTCTCAGTAATCTCAAACCAAGATAAGTTCCAGCTAAAACCAACCTCTTACGGCTCCACCAGTACTGGTCCCGCTCGGCTCCGTGGACAGCTGACGAAAAATGAGACACCCTCACTCAAACGTAGTACGTGCAGTGCGTGATGATCTCACAATTCGCATAAGGGAATGAAAGGCAGGAATTCACTCGTGACGGCCATGCACTCATTTCGGTTGTTCAGCTTTGGATTTCGCACACGGATGTAAAACGCTTCTAACATTTTTCTAGCACCGATATCATGTTCCTGGGTCAGGATTTTACATTCTATATCAAAGTCATTGCCCGCATGTTTTTCAAACCGGTGCTTGCCAAGCGGAGTAAGAAGGCTTCCACGTCTTTTCCCAGCCAGGTGTTCTTTAACGCGTACACCTAACATCCTGCCTGTTTCACCAATATACGCTTCGCCACAGGTTGAACATTGAAGTTGGTATACTGCTTCTCTCAATGCGCAAGTTCCACGTGTTGTGGGTTGAAGTAGCTAATACTTACCGAACTAATCATGTGTGATGAGCTTACCTTAACTTACTGAATTTTAATTGTGATTCAGAGATGTGATTGAGTTTTTTGTAGTACATCATTTACCATATCATTCTGATGTATTGTTTTTTCATCATGCCGTGGAATTGGGCGCATTTTGTGCGCAATTGCGGAAAAGGTGGTACTCAGTGGAGTACGAAATGAAAGTTGCGCGGGAAAGTGTAGGCCCAGGGAGGAAGGACTGTCAGCAACAAGGCAGTCGTCGTTTTCGTCTACCGTCAGGGGTGCCCGCTTCTCTGGAAATCTGAGTCGTCGATTCGTCTAGCGTCGTCGTCTCCCGGTTCTCCAGAATCCCGAAGGAGGTGAGTCATCGCTTGTGGTGCTGAGTATCGCCGGTAGGGCAGCTGTTGTGAGTGTTTTATGGCGTAATTTTTTGTGGTATCTCGCTGGAATTTTGCCCGCGTATCATGTTGTTTTCTTTTGTAATTTGATAAAGAATAAAGATTTCCTATCTAGTATGTGCGAACCTTCAAGCGGTAATAACCGCATGTACCTTAACACTTGCACATCGTGGGGCCAAGCCGCCGTTTGAAGATACGTACTAGCCGGGAAAAGTTGACCTGTTTTGCGTCTGTTGGGTTTACTTATGTGTTTAACACCTACGTTGAAGCTGCTTGCCGTGGCCTCGAGTAGCTTTAGCGTGGCGCACTGCTAGCAAGTAAGTGATTTTTCTCGAGAAAAATTCAACTCAAAACTAATTCAACTTCAAAATTCGACCAGTGTGGTGTCTGGTTCCCACTTTTTTGTAGGAATTGGTAGCGGCACACCCCATTTTCCAAGTCTGTCCAATTCCTTTTGGATGTGTGTAAAACTATCGATTGCTCCAAAAGGAGGAGACTGGGCACCACATCTTCACTGACCGCCGCGTAATGGCTGAGTCAGTGGCGTCGGAGGACGCAGGAGGGACGCTTCATAACGCTTCTGGTGCAAAAGGTAAGCTGGTCTCCTCAGGCCCCCGTGGTACGTAGTTGAACGTTGCTGTATAGGGAGGTAATCGATTGGAATAGTGGAACCCATCTTGAGCATGTCATCCGCACGCACAACTGTGCCCATATTGCAAAGGCAGTGAAGGTTGGAAGCCTCTCCACACAGTTTTAAACTTCTCAGACCACCACGGTTCCGATGCGATACGAATGGTAAACAAAAAAGCACAACATGATATGATTCCACTACTTTGTAACCGTGGAGGTACAATGTAGTTAGTATCATTTCCTGATCTGCAACCGAATAAAATTAGGCGTGGGATTACGGTAGCACAGCGCGGTACGCAATTACACAGCTACCGTGAGGGTTTATACGTAATATCGTGGAATTCATCAACTATCTGGAGATGGATGATCGGAGACCCTCTCATAAAGTGCTCGCTTAACCTGAAGTCGACTGCTGATGTCGGTCCATCAGCTAGCTGTAGAGCAATGAAGATAGTTTTGCTCTCAGAGTGGTGCAAATTGAGGATGACGTATATATGGTGAAATGCCATTGCAACGCACCAAACCGAACGCCAGGAGTGAATGGTCGCTCCTTTTAGGTACGAGTGGGAAGTATTCGGAGCACTAGGCAACAAGACTATTGACTTCCACCGTTCCTGTTGTACAATGGAGGCTGACGACTACCTTGGATCACTGGCACCAGCAAAGACTGTCCAGTGGCTACATAAAGACATGGTCCTCATACACCTCCACAATTCGAACCCCAGCTACTTCCATGCTGGAGCTAGTAGGACACAAAGGAAAAGTATGAGGACAAACAAGTGGTCAAACTTTTCCACTAACCAATTACCCGAAACAACTCAATGTGTATCAATGATCGGTATGTGGAGTATGTGGAGCTCTGGAAAAGGCTAAGATCTCGACAATTACTAGGTCAATTTTGCTAGCACCCTCACTGGACAAATTTGAACCTAGCAGCAGCAATGGAATTCAGCTTTTGTGATGATCCACGCTCAAAGGCAAAGTTTGGGATTTCTAATCGAAATTAGTTTTTCCCGTCAAATATGCAGCAGTACGCAAGCGCGGACCATGTGCAGAAGTGGCGGGGCGATTTGACAAGGTTTAGGCGCTAGGAGCCTAGGTTGGAGCATTGGCGCCGCCCCAACCCCATTGAGCCCGCCCACAGTTCTACGTGACCTTCCTGAACCACGTGGAAAACTAGATGTTGAACGGTTGTTCGGAAGGTCGTAGGGCAATATTGTAGCAGACTTCAACTTCAAAAATCAACACTAAAGCCTGCTACGACCACTATCGTGAAAGTTAATATTCATTCTAATGAGCAACGAAAATATCAGACAAGAAACAAGCAAAAAACTGCAGAGAAACAGAAAATAAAAAGGAAACTAAAAATAAGCAGATTTTTGTGCTGAGTTTTTTAGCCGCATCGATTGTCATAAGCCAACAGTTGCTGAAAACACTTTCAGACACATCCTTCCCCCACCCCTGGCTTGCGTGCAGCTAATGGTAAGAAAAGGTTCCTATTTTGAGCTTCCCACAGGGTTTTTCCTACTTTTTTCTTACTGCCGACTCACATGGCACTCAATACATCATATCTGAACAGAAAGCTCCCTCATCTCATCACGGAGCTTGCCTTCAAAGCCACCCTGAACAATACACACATCCCTCATCGTCAGTCTTGATTTCTCCTACCGAAGATGCACTAGTGGCGTATATTAATCATCTCATCAAATGCCCTACGTTTTCTTCGCTTAAAAATCTACCACCGAAAATGTGCAGACTTACTTTGTGGCAAGGCTTCTGAGATCATCAAGATAACTGCTGGCGACCACTTCAGCGACAATTTCACCTTTTTCTCGCTCTGCTCCACCTCGTTCTGGTTCTCGAATGAATACGATGATTGCAAGTAGACAAATGACACCTAAAATGGTTTCCAATAATCAGGGATAGAGGACAATTTTCCATAGTGAGGAAGAATTGAAATTAAAAAAGCGCAGTGACTGAGAAGTCCCAACGACAAACCTAGTACTGCAGTGATACGAACACCCCATTTCCAATCGCCAGTTAGCGCGGCGACCGAAGAACCCACCATGAAGCCCAAGCCGCTGAAAGAAGGTGATTCATTTTGAAGGTGATTTTCGTCAATCACTTTTATCAATTTCATCATTCTTGCTAACAAGCGTCTATGTACTATAAAGATACAGTCCAAGACATAATGTGTGCACGAAAGCAAGTCGACTCGGACCTTCCACAAGGAATAGCAAAATAGAAGAACATCAACATTCGACTTCTGTTCTCTCCAGTGAACATGTCGGCAATTATTGACGGAGAGATGACAGCATATGAGGCTTCACCAACACCGACTATATACCTCGGAACAACAAAAACAGCCAGAACATCTTAAGCAGCAAAGTTATTTTCCGGTAATGAGAAAGAAGAATGGAGTAACAAAAGTATCGGCTCCCTCCCTGGGCAGTCACAGAAAGCTTAAACCAACGTTTGCAGGGATAAAGGTGGAGGCGAACACGGCCAGTATCCACACTGCTATCCCGGTTGTCATAATCCATTTCCTGACGTACCTATAAAATAGAGGCGTATAAAGTAATGATAATAATTCCAGAGGGATTGCATGAACAGCCTAATCTTACCTATCACCTAAGAAACCACAAATTGGAGAACATATCATAAAAAACACCATAAATATAGTTTGTAATAAACCGCCTTTGGGCGTCATTAATATTATAATAGCTTTGAATATTTGTTAATACACCTAAATTCAAAATTGAATAAAATAAATCATCAGCGGAAAAAAAAGACAAGACAAAAAAGACAAAAACTTGCCCGCAATTGTATATCTATCCATATACGTCTAAGAAGATGAATACCTAAATACATATAGCTATGCTCAAATCAGACTCTTGGACTGAAAAGAAGAAAAAACTCGAAAAGAGTCCTCGACCATTGAAAAATCAAACCTTACACCGAGAAAATCAGATTTCTCGCGTCGACCATGGACAAGTAAGAAAAAGCATGGCGCATACATATTGTAGTAAAAGTTTATACAGTCGCGAAAGGAGAGCTGAATTCTGAGCACCCCTCCGTACTTTTCTCTTGCTTCCTTTCCCCATCTTCTTTTCGCTTAACGCGAGTCCGCGCGCGAAGTCGCAGTCATCATCTGCACTGAGAACACCCCGTACCATGGTAGCAAAACCTTTTCTCCGGTCGCCGAGTCTCCTATAGATGGAACGTAGATGGTAGAAAGGACATGCTCCCGCACATGGAGGACATTCAAGCAAGAGGGTGAAATAAAACGCTGCTGGGCCATCCACTGCACTCCAATTAACGTGTACTTACAAACGACAAGTCTTCATCCCTGTCAGCAAAGATTCTACATATAGGTCTAGGAAAATTATGGCAAGAAGAACCCATCACGACCCATAACAAAAAGGAACACCGACAGACTAACAATCTCACAAAATGTCGTAATTCGTGATAAACCTTTCAGTTGTTAGAGCAACACCCTCAGCAGGAATTCGTGTTGAAGAATATACACCGTGATGGTGTAGAAATACCGCAGTTATCACAGATATAGCCATTGTCGCGGCTCTGTAAATACGCAGACAAATGGCGCTAGGGTCTTGTAAAGTCAGTCATGTGGCGATTAACGCCTAGGCTTTTGGAACTGAATTACGCCTTGCACACTCCATAACACGCAACGTGGATTACGGTGTAGCGCGCTAATTCAAATACGCGCGGGATAGCTGAGCCGCGGAGAAGGAAATCATACAGCTCGTCCGGCCCCGCCCCTTCCACGGGAGAATCTTTGTTTGGGGCTTCATCGACGATTATCTTTGCTCATCATTCATTTTCTTGTAAACTGGCATCCACAACACCTTTATTGACGCGCTGTGCCCCAACCAATCTTCGATCGGAGTGTCCACCATTCAAAACAGACTTCATGAAACATTCCGTGCACGTCAGCAAGTCCTATAATCGCCAACCCAGGTGAGAGTAATGGAGATACTAATCGCTCACAGATCTAGGAAACGCTAAGTTAAGAGTTAGTCCAGCATAATGTATTGTCATGATTCCCCTTCATGACTTTGATTCTGTCCAAGCGGCACCAAGTCTAAGCCAGGCGGCCGTCAAATTCCCTCTTGGCCGACAGCACTTTGCTGGCATGCTCTTCACAGCTAGGCCACATATTCCAGTATCGGCATACAAAAACAACTCAGAGATGCTATTCATTTGCGAAAAGGAGCCACCAACAGGAAATGTCTCCGCCATTCCAATCAATAAAGCAATCCTATCCTTCAGTCCAGCATTCAATCATTATCTTGTGTTGTTATTACTCCCGTTTGGTAGTCCTGGTACTAGGACAGCACCTCCAACAGCACACCAGTATACCGAATGAATACCCATTAATAACAGTTTTGGTCCTTCTACGTGTGCTGAGTGGCAGGCGACAGGCTACGGGTTAGGACTTCATTCTAAATTCGCCTTTAGGCTCGTGTGTAAGGGTTTCTAAGTGTTCAATCACGCATGTAACGTTTTCTTTCGACTCGAAGTTCGTTTGGCGCCATTTAGCTTAACAGGGCACACATTGGCACTTATAAAGAATCACCCTCGAACAAAATTCGCTTACCCTTAATTCACATGCTTGGCGCTCTCGTTCTTCTTCCTCCGGATCGAGCTTTTTCGGTATTGAAGCCGCATCGTACTGTTTAATTTCCATGCCATCATCAGTTTTTCCCATCATACCTAGAAGAAATCATGGATGGCGTCTATCATCCGCTTCAAGGAGAATGCATGCAAACAAACGATCTACTGTAGTAGTCTCTTTATTCAATATGAAACACAGAAAGGGCGGCATGTGTGTGCAGGTCTGAAGAAATCTACAGCATAATGAGAGTGAAGAAATCTAACCTCAATCGAGCACGGCCATCAAACAAAAAAGAGCCAAATCGGAATAGGAGAGACGACTCAAGTGCACTACACGCTGAAAATATAACAATCACTTGTAAGTGCACCACCACGCTCAGCTGTAACGACCCTCAAATAACATTATAAGGAAGACTTATGGAATAGGAACACAGCGAGTGGACTTACAAAATCCCCCCCCTCCCCCTGCTCTTGGTCGAATGCGAAGAAAACAGCAAGGCGGGGGTGCGCGAGAGTGAGGCGGGTGTGAATACTTCAAATAATACTTTGATACTAATTTCGTAAAAGAGGTAAACGAAACGGGATAGATTTCCTTTTTCTCTATACTCTGCTAACACAAATGTTAGATAGGTGTCAAACTTTGCGACTAATCTTCAGCAGATCACGCGGTTCGCTCGATTCGTTAAAGTCGCGTTTATAGTAGACGATTCAGCCACGTGATCCAATCGCGTTTAGGAAACCATGTACGCCGACTGGACCCATAGACTGATGCTGCTTTAGTAAGGTCATGAGTATCGCCATGCTATCCTGGCACGAATACTGTATCAGGGCCTCGTGCTCAAAATTTACCCCGATAAGCATCGAGACCTGTGGAATTCCCCCGAGTAAGGTCATTGTCAGGCTCAACTTCAGAGCATTCGCTGGCGCAGCTACGGATTTACAAATTCTGGCACGGGCTTTACGGAGAGGTTTCGGGAGCCACGACCCATCCTACATACCCAGATACACCCCAAAATTGTCTACAAATAGGCATTTGATTCGTATTACTTGATTGTACTCTATTACTCAACAGCATGATCTTCCATCCATTAATTACCTCGTTGTTCATATTTCCTACCACATTCAATGAAAGTTAGTTAAATCAACAGTCCCAGCAGGGCGGGCGTGGTCGGTCCCAGCAGGGCGGGCGTGGTCGGAAACGGCTGCAATCCCCTCGGCCGATTCCCACTTCGGAGCTGTTCAGCCCCTAGTCAAGAACGTAAGAAGTGTGACTGAACAAAAACTCACCTTGGAAAGCCGCTAGGGAGGGAGCTGAAGTGGGCGTGGTTGGAATCGGCCGAGGGGATTGCAGTCGTTTCCGACCACGCCCACCCTGCTGGGACTGTTGCTTTGAGGCAAAAACTTTGGAATGCCCGTTTTAAAAATGCTTCAATATGAGGGAGCGAATGAAACCTTTATGAAATAACCGCTAAACACTATCTTTCGAAAATGGAGAATCACAGCACACAAATCCGCTAAGCTATTTCCAAGGAGCAAATATTTCAGAGAGGAATTATTGGCAGGTGTTGCGATATACGGGAGGAAGAGTTTTGCAAACACGAGGATCAGAATAACGGCAAGTAACGACAACTGAGCGGTTTGTTCATCAAATTTTCATATGACAATGATTGTCTCCTCGACAAAATGACTGGAAAATGCGAGAAGCCGAACTCAATCAGAGCGATAGTCTTGGAAGGATAAAGGAGCGATTCCTGAGAGGTTTCTGAGTGGAGAAGTTTGTAGTCAAGGGAAGTGAGAAAAGTAAGCTTTTTATACTCAAAAAAAAAGAGTAGCGTGGGATAGTAGCGCTCATATTTGCGCAACCGCGGGACTCGGAATGTAGAAATCAGGATTCAGAATAGGGAAAATACTAATTCCTTTTTGTCATCCCTAAAAAAGGCCGCAGCGCGAGCGAGTGGAAATTCACGAGTACTCCTCTGCACTTGGTGGTGTAATATCGCAAAATGTTTCAAATTCTTCATCTGAATGAAAAGTCCTTGAGTGCATGAAAAAGCCCCCCCCCCCCCGCCCGAAATTGAAAATCTTACAAAATAGAGGTCCTCAACCGTGAGAGGGGCATGATGTTACACGGATCATATCGCATGGATGTAATCACCTTTTTGGCGGGAAACTCCAGGTGTGTATACCGGGATTCCTCTATGCAGAAATTGTATCCTGTAGCGCAGGCACTACCGCATCCAAATGCCCCCCTACTGGATGACACGGATGAGACCTCGAATTACTTTCAAAAAAAGGTAGACCTCAAATTAGTCTCAAAAAAGTGCACAAAGTCATCCGACAATCCAACCGTTAACAAGCTGATCTAGAAAGCAAAATGTCACTCATAGTCGACAGTTTATTGGTACAGTTCTTCTGGCTTGTTGTGAAAATTTACATATGGTTCAAAGATTTTCAGAATTTGTCTCCGCCTCAAAGCCCATATGTAACATTGGGCTTTGAATGAACGAACAATGAGAATGAATGTGATAATGACAGCAAAGGCATTGAGAGGATCCAAAGTGAAGGGAAAGTAAAGGAACCGGTCTGAAGGCTGTGAAACGAGACCATTGCTTTCCCCAATGGATTTCCCCCTTGGACGATGCTGAAAATTGTGAGCGATCTAGCGTTACACGATAAAGAAACGGCTACAGATTGACATCAGTGTCGTTCTGGAATGCAAGCACAAAGCACGGTCGCGCTAATCCTGAACTGGATGTCGCTCATTGGCATCCCAAACTGTTATCAGCTGACGGCTGAAGTGTCAGCCAATGAGTACACGCAACGAGAGCTTCGTTGAAACGCTACGATATCTACAACAGTCCCTCAAATTCGCCCAACGCCAGGGCGCCGACGAAGACTGCATGCGAGCTGAAAGCCGAAATGAAACAGTGGCGTTCATGTCGTTAAGGGGGGGGGAGGGAGACATCGAGATGAGTGAGCCATTTACAAAGCTTGGAACTAAGTTTTAGGAAGGGAAAGAGACTCTTTAGACTTGAACAACCTTTGTTCTTCCTGATGGGGCTTCTCTCCTCTCTTGAGCGAAACTAGACTACTCTTCGTTTGACCCCACATAATGCTATAGCAATAAAAAATTTTCTCTCATTCATAAAGACTAACTTTATTGAATTCAATGGAAGTCAATTCCATGTACGTATTAGTCCCAAGTCATCTACCGGCGATTTTCAAATGAACTGTTTGGAATTCCCCCGCCCATGGCCATGAGCGCCGGAGCATTGTCTTGAAAATTTTTAAAAATAAAATTATATCCTTATTTCGAACACCCACTGCACCTATACATCCTACCCATTGATATCCAGCAGTTGTATGATAAGAATTGCGGAGTGGTTGCACGTGAGGAGATGAAAGTTTATCTCTGTATAGCAAAGTTCGCGATTACCCTAGGCACCTACAGAAGATTCTGGGACGTCCTAAAGATTCCAAGTTCTGTTCCAAGTTTTGTAAGTGGCTCACTCATCTCAATGTCTCCCCCCTCCATTAACCGACATGGGCGCCCTTGTTTCAGTTCGGCTTTCAGCTCATATGCACTCTCCATCGGCGCGCCGGCAGTGGGCGAATGACAAGGACTACTGTAGACGATACAACGGGGGTGGTGGATATTGGAGTATGCCGTACAACGAATCAAGTGAAGTGAAAATGCTAGAAGCCATGGTATAGGATAGAATGTTGGCCTAGTTTACAGAAAGGAGGAATCTCAGCCATCAGCTGGGCGATGTGACTCATAAGATGGAACGATGTGTGTCAGATAAGATCCAATTTCTCTCGCAACATTCAAGTCAAAGGCAGTGAATGTGATGGCGACGAGGCCGAGCGGTTTCGCATGCCCCGTCAGCGGAGGAGGCCGAGCAGTTTCGATGGCGTCACTGTGTGAACGGTGGAAGAGCGTCGTGAACTTAACCGGATCACACTCAAACCCCTCTCACATGCCTCGCCCTCCCACCAATGACGGCCAATAAAGTTAATCCCATAACCTGGCTTCCGCTTCTCACGCCATTGTCACCAAATTGCCTTGAAGGTAACCTTAAAAGGTTAATCGCGTACACGTGCGAGGGAGGGGACATCAAGCTAAAGGCCGCTATGGTGCCAGTCGAGATCGACTAAGCCCCCAGCGATAGGAAGACAACACAAGGGTAGAACACAAATTGCTCACCACGTCTCCTTCGAAATCTCCCTTCCCCTTCCTAAGGCTTAGTTCCAATCACAGTATTGTCTCACTCACATGGATGCCCCACCCAAGGTTATCTCTGAGCCTCGTGCTGATAAATAAATCGAGGTTATGTAGACTGAAACTAGCAAAAGAGAGTTGAATGATTCATTGGTAAGTGCTTCGAATTACTATCTTGCTATGATAAACAATAATTAAATAAATAAAATGATTTTGCAACTTACTAAACCTTGTGGGGAGCTTGAAGTTCTAGCAATTCAACCATCCCCAACCAGTAACTTAAAAAATCATTAATGCAACTGTCTACAATTATTATCCTTAGAATCAAATGATAATGATGGTAGTTGATCAGATATCAGAAGAATTGATAGGTGAATTGTAGAACAAGTGCATAAATACCTCAGACCTCTTGTTGCGGGAGAAGCTGACTTGTATGACTGCGATTACGGTGCTTTTTATTCCCACATTTTCGCAGTACTCGACGAATACCTTGCAGTAATGAATACAATGAGAAATTCCCCCGCAGAAGTGCACCCCACGTAAAAGATTTCCATTTACCATGACTAATCTGAAGTCTACTATACCGTGAAAACGGCTTGCATCATATCGCTCATTCAAGGCAAACGGCACGATAAATCGTATTTCGAAGGAGGCGCATATACCTGCAATGAAGGCAAAGGCCACCAACGAAGAGAAATGCGGTGGTTTCGGCTGGGAGGTGAGCCCTTAGCCGCAGGGCAGTCTTACATGTCCATTATGGGGGCCTCGTTCCTCCGCCCACCCACCGACTGGATACGCCAGCTATAATCCTTGCCGTCGGACTCTAGCCGCTTAAGCAGCATGGCAGTCATGCTGATTACCCAATGCGACCCGCCCAAGCTGGTGTTAGACTTAGGACGCTGCCCCAACGGAACCCGCCCAAGGCCGGTGTCAGACTCGGACGCGACAAGCGAATCGCTCGATTCGAATTCTGACACCGGTCCAACGCGGAATTCAAGGAAGGAAACAAGGGGTCCGGTGCTGCAAGTTTGGATCGTTCCGTTGCGGTAGTAGTTACGGTAAAGCTTGTGCGCACCGAGGAAGCATATGCGTCACTCAGGCCGTTGCAAGGCTACCAAGGAAGCGAGGTGTAGCCCTTGGCGCTGCTTGCTGACCAGTACTTCAAAACGCAACCCACGAACCGTACAAACCCCTGCAGAGTCTATCGTAAACGCTGCCTTCGAGTTTCTTTTCCACCGTATCTGTCGGTAGCTCTTCTAAGGAAGATCAGTTTATCGCACCGGCTTTTGGTTGTGCGTTTTCCATGCAGACAGCACAATGGCGATTTTTGTAGCAAGAAGCGGGAGAGCGGTGGGGTGGGTATACACCATAAAATTTGCAATTCACACAAGAACGAAGAAGGAGATCTAGTACAAATTTAGCTGGCATTAGCACACTTCATATGTATTTCAATCCTCCCAGTCGGGTCAGCCAGCCTCTGTGAAGTAGGCCGCGCACGGTAATCGCAGGATTACTGTCGAAATCTGGGGCCAGCACGATGAGGATTTCATGAAGTTTGGTCAACTTTACACGATAATTTCGCTTTAATGGTTCCCTAGCTTTTTGAACACTGCTGAGCCATACTTTTGGAAACGTTGTTCAATCTAATAGTATTGATGGAATCGGGATGATTAGTGAGTTCGATCAATTTAAATACTGAAGCATCGTACGGGAATTAGTCTCCTTGTCTCTATAGAGCCCCAGACCGACCGAGACACGATAGTGGGCTGACTTATCAGGAGAATCAAACGTCTCTTCAACATCAGACTTCTTCTCTTCATACGGTCCTAAACTGGTTCAAAATGTGCGAGTGTAAAGGACTGACGTAAGCACTGGGAACATGTCTCGAAAAAGATGTTCCTATGGGAAATTTGTCCCATATAGCCATGGAGGGTGCGAATAGTGGTAAATGAAATGATGTACGTATTGAGCAAGAGACCACGGCAAAGTTTCTCGCAGAAGGCGCCGTGAAAATAAGAATTTAAAGTTGCAAAACATGATCATAAAATAGAAGAATTGATATGTGAAATACAACTTGTTTTGGCGACAAGAGCCTCAAGATGGGGCCAGGGTTTGAAAAATGGCCGCTCACCGTTACTTTGAGCACCGATTGTTCTCAATTACGGTCTCATTAAGTAGATGGCCGAAACTGGAATACGGTAATACGTCATGCTGTTTTGACTATTGAGCGAAAACGTTCGTCGATGTTGTATTACAGGTATTTGTTACGAATCAAAGCGTTGTCAGTCGAAACCCTCCTAATGGAATGAAAAAAAACCCGCAAAAATGCTCATTCGCATCAAAGATGGGTTTTACGATGAAAAGGAGCCCATTGGAAATTAAGCTAGAGATGGTCAGTGATGCACGAAAGAAGAAAAAACTGAGAAACCAGAACCCGAGAAATGGGACCCCTTCCTTGCCCGTTGATTTGCGCATTGATGCGACTCTCATCGCTGTGCCCTCTTCAGCACTACGCTCTCTCTGCTGGACGGCTAACGGCTCACATAGTGAGACGGGAGCG